TTCTATCTTCCCCCCCCCATTGGAAGGGAAAGGAAAGGAGGGAGCTATACATGGACTAGCCCCTCACTCCAAAAAGCCTAAACAGAAACTCAAAATTAGGGTTAGAAGAGAACCCTGAAGGCATCTAGCCAACCTGTCCTTGAGCAGGGAGTTTCCCTATAACATCTCTGAAAGCAGTCATGCAGAAATGGGACTACCACTAATGGGAAACTCACTACCTCCTAAAGTAGTTCATTCAAGTAGTGAGAAAACACTAATCATAGGAAATTTTTCCTTCTACTAAACTGCTCTGCCCCTCTATTATCTTTTACTTTGTTTTGCCCTCTGAGCCCGAACATAAGAAAAACAAATCTTCTCTCTTTCCCATGATAGCCCCTGAAACATTGAAAACAATCTCCACTTTAAACATCCCCAGTTCCTTTAACATATCCTCATATACCATAGTTTCAAGTCTCCACTACCCTGTCTACTCTCCTCTCTCTGGCTTGTTATTCCCTCCTCAAATGTATTACCCAGAATTGGACAAAACATTCCAGGGCATGGACTAATGAGGGGAGAGGACATTGGGACTATCTCTTCCCTCAGTCAGAATACCATGCTTTCATTCATACTGCTGCAATATAGACTCGTCAGCACCCGTAATGGAACTCTCCAGTGCTTCAGGTACTTATTGGGGCCAAGTCAAGGAAGCTGCTATTTCTCATAGCTAAAATCCCATGATGCTTGGCCTTGCACCTGGGAATGGCATCAGTAGGTACACATTTGGGAAAAAGAAGAAAAGAGAAAGGTGAATAGTTTGGACAAATTTTAGAAGTTAAAAAGAAAGTGGGACTTTCAGAAGCAACAACAGAGAGTGAGCAGAAATGGATAGGCACCAACTATAGGCTATGGTTGAAGCCAGAAGGCAAACAGCTTTCTCCCCTGGTATGCCTGGAGGATTAAATATATATTAGATTATATTCTTCCTGAAGCCTCTTTGAGGTGAACCCATTTGCAAAGGAGGTCATAGAATAAGAATATACCTTCTTGTTACTCCCTCTTTTATTTAAGTTTTTAAATAAAAACTTTATTTTTATATCTTAAAGGTTTTTTGCTGCTGGGTTTGTGGTTTGTATAATCTGTAAATAAGGAAATCTGCATTGGTTAGGACTTGGGCCATGATTTGCAAAATTGAGTACTGTCAAAGAAAAAATAGTAAGGAAATAGAAAGAGAATAAACATTCGTATCGCACCTAATAAATGCCAGGCACTATGCTAAGTGCTTTACAAATACTGTCTCATTTGATCCTCACATCAACCCTGCAAGGTAAGTGGTATTGTTATTCCCATTTTACAATTGAGGAAAGTGAGGCAAACAGAGGTTAAATGACTTGCTCACAGTCACACAAAGCTAGTAAGTGTCTGAGGCTGGATTTGAACTCAGGTCTTCTTGATTCTAGGCCCAATACTCTATCCACTACACCACCTAGCTGCCTATTTACAGTATTAATGCTAATGCTCTATTCTGCAATTTTGGTTCATCTATCAGAAATAATTTAATTGAGCATTTATCTATATCCAAGCCAATTATAGCTTGGACAAAGAAATGTCCAAGATGGCATGGTCCTATGCTCTCTAAGGTGACTCTCTACACTCAAAGTGTCAAACACGGGCAGTATTCAGTCCACAAAAGTCCTGAGTGTGGTTGAAACCAAATTAAAATGCAACTGGGAAAATATTTAACAAAATTTTTAAAAAATACAGTAAAACATAGATAATGCTACATTTTAAAATTAAGTCACTATGCAGCCTTCAGGGTTCCTTATATGTGGTTTAGTGGCCTTGTTTCTATTTGAATTTAACACCATTGCTCTATACCAAGATGATTTCAGATAACATTTAGAGATACCTGAAACAAGGAAAAGATCATGAAATGTAAAAAATACACTTTGGATCAACATTTCAGAGTAGTTGAGTAAAGAAGTTACCACTCGTCTCACTCCTGGAGTCAAAAGGGCCTCTATTCTTCCATCAATTGTTGTTATTGTTGTTCATTTGTTTTAGTTGTGTCTGACTCTTCATAACTGCATTTGGCATTGTGTTCTCGACAAAGATACTGGAGATGTTTGCCTTTCTTTGTATTCCCAGGACTTTAGCACAATGCCTGGCACATAGTAAGTGCTTAATACTTGTTGTCTGACTTTCATCCCTTCCATTAGTCATCCTTTCCAATTTAATGTATTTGTAAAGAAGCAATCCCTCTCGAGAATTTTGGAAGGAGTTGGCTGAATGGTGATATATTGTTAGGGGGAAATGATCTTGCTTATTGCCCAAATGGGCAACCATGTGGGTGGAACAGATTAATGGGGCAGAGTTCTGGCCACTGGCCTCCTATGGTGTGACTTTTTAACAAGAAGGGTCACTCTGTCACATATACTCCAAGAAGGGAAACAGGGCAGCAAATGGCAAAAACACTAGATTAGAAGTCAGGAATTCTGGGTTAGAGACTTGGGTAGGCCATTTAGTAGGTAAATTTTGAGACAGAAGGCTATGTGGTATAGTTTACGGGTCAGTTAACTATAGCCCAAGAACCAAATTAGACCTCCTGTATGTTTTTATACAACCCCAAGAGCTAAGAAATGTTTTTGTTTCATTTTTAAATGCAATAAAACTTTATCTGAAAAAAAAAAACATTCTTACCTTGTGGGTCCTACAAAAATAGGAGGCCTGTGGGATTTGGGCTCAGGAGCTAGTTTGCCAACCCCTGGTATAGGGCATTGTCACAATTTTTAGCACATTTGGAGTCAGAGGACATTGATTCAAAACCTGACTTTTCTATATACCTTAGGCAAGTCACTTAATTTCTCTGGGCCTCAGTTTCCTCAGCTGTAAAATGAGAGGGTCATTCTAGATGATTTTTACCATCCTTTCCAGTTTCATATACTATGATCTCCATGAAATCCCACTCCTACACTTCATTGTGGAAATATGCTGGGCTCACAAAGACAATACACAAATTCTGTGAGATTTAACTAAACTGGCCTCTAAGAAACCAACAGGATCTTCTGCCTGAGGACCAGTCTAGTTAAGTATAGAGAGACACTAGGAGACTGGTAAGTAAGCGATGCATTCTTTGGCCATGGTGACCTACAAAAATAAGTGATTAAAATAAGATATAAACTTGTATTGATCAATCTAAATGAAGAAAAGAGAGAAATCTTAGAGAAAAGTATCCTGCCTCCATAATTCAATGTGCTCATTATCAGTTACCACTCTGAATTAAAAGCAATTAATGCCTTGGAAAAATACAACCTCTTATTCGCATATGAAACTAAGGGAGAAACAGGTTGTTTACTGAAGCAAAAGTGGTCTAATAGCAACACGTTGCGCAGAAAAAGGACGTTACTTCATGGGGTGGGGACCAATCAGTTGATGAAGGATATCAGAGCAAAACTGGTGTGAGGAAAGTCCCAGGCAAGATAGATCATGTCTTCTATCATGCTAAGAGCTTCATTTTCTCATACCCCTAATTATGCTAAATTGATATGTCCACTATATCAAGTCAGCCCTAGATACCAGATCATGCATTGCAAACCATTTGACTGTCTAGCCTGGCCATCTATCTGACATCTGCTCTGCTTCACTTTCACCTGAATCAGTGGACCTCCTGGAATCATGCCTTGGTTGATTTCATCCATTCAGTTTTGGAACTACCCATTCAAAGTAAACATTGGCACAGGATCATGTGCTGAGCCCTAGGCCCTAGGGCATGCTTCATAGCCCATCTAGACATCCGCTCCAGGCTTCCCCTTGTCATCTGCCCTGCCAATGCTGCTTCTCCACCACTGGGTTTCCCAATGTTTAACCCACTAAGCTTTGGAACCCCTGCCATGGGGTGATGTGGCCCTGACTTGTGTCAGCTTATTATATTTTTCCAATTCCAGACCTTTGACCACAATACCTTCCAGACATCTTCCTGATGTGCCACTATGTCCACATACTCCTCACTCCCCTGCTCCCAATTTCCATTTATTATGGGTAATTAAATCAATACTACCATTGCTTCTGGGAAATGGTGTGTCAATTGATTACCCTCTGGCCTCTTCACCATCCCTGTGATTTCATAAACTAAACCACACTTCCCTGGAAATAAAATACTCCCTTATATGTGAGCTCCTTTAGAGCAGGGACTGTCTTTTGACTTTCTTTGTATCCCCAATGCTTAGCACATAATGGGTGTTTAATAAATGCTTATTGATTGACCAGTGTGTGTGTCTCCCTCTTCTATTAAGTTTCTTGAGGGCAGAGACTTTCTTATAAATGTATTTGTATCCCCAGCATTTAGAATGTGGAAATTCACTTAATAAATTATTTTATTTATTTCATTAGTGTGGTATAATGAAGCACTTAGACTTGAAGTCAGAGCACCTAGATTTGTTTTTGTTGTTGCCTTGGTCTTTTTATATTTATTTTTAATAGTATTTTTTCCAATTACATGTAAAGACAACTTTTGGCATTCATTTTTCATAAAATTTTGATATTCTATGCTTCTCCTTTGAAATTTCAAGAGAAAAAATGTTTATTAGTTCATATATAGAATTTTGACCAGTGGAGGCTGAAGGGAGGGACTCATTCTTGGTTGTTTTCTGTTCTTTTCTTATTTCTGTACTGCCCTCCCTGTTTTCCCACCCCCGTCCAGTTTAGGGCTACCTGTGCTGCAGCTCTGAGAAAAAAATCTCTATGACTTTTAACTCAGTCATTAACATAGACCCCAGATTTTCCAAGGGAGGGTGTTGGAGCTAAAAGACCCCACCAGTGCCACCAAAAGAGTTCTTTTACTTTGTCTCCTTGGTGTCAGAGCTGACTGATAGGTATCTCTTTTTATATTTTACAGATGCTTTATGTAAGTGATCAGAACATACCTCCGCACTAACACTCCTTTGTGTTTCTCTCCCTCAATCCTCAGAGGACTTCAGGCCTTGATCCATCTGTTCAAAGCAAACATTGGCACAGGTCTTCTGGGGCTGCCTCTGGCCATGAAGAATGCAGGCATCATCGTAAGTGGGGTCTGTGAAAACTGGACCTAGCATCACCAATTTGGCAGGAGATGAGAGAGTTTTCAAATACTATTAAATTACTTAGAAATTGGAAGGCTGTTTGGTGTATGTTTCACTAGATCAACTTTGTTTATTAGAATCAATAATCAAGAGAAATACTTATAGCTCCCCAGCAATGTCATCTTCCAATTCCAAATTTCTCTTACTGTTTATTGAAGTTTTTTTTTAATTAGTCCCATCAGAATAGAGAATGTCCAGTGAAAAAACTCCTGCCAATGTAGATTGGTGCCTGCTTTGCAAGTACCAATTATATCCCTGAAGAATTGCTTGGCACTCTGAGAGTTTAAATGACTTGCCCAGAGTCATACAGCCAGTATGAATCAGATGCAGGATTTTAATTCAGGTCTTCCTGACTCTATGGATGGTATTCACTATGTCACACTGCCCCTATAATAAACACATTTGTTCACTGGGCAATGACTATTTTTGAGCATAGAAATTCTTAAGGAACTATCTACTGAGCCATGGAAAGGTCACAGTTGTTGGAAGCATTTAAACTGACAAAATCACAGGTTTTCTGAAGTATGATTTATTGCTTTGTGACCCTTAGACACTTACTTAATTTCTTAATTTAAGTCACTTAATTTCTCAGTGCTCTAAGTAACTTCATAAGACTCTTAAGTATGAGTGCAGGTGCTGACCTGCTTTAGCAGAGGAAGTTTGCTTACTTAGGAGGTTCCATATG